TTTCACCTGTCCAGGACTTTAACATGAGCATCGAAGAGCATATCAGGGTCATGAACGAACGCAAGTGCCTGGCTGCCAACGCCCTGGTCAAGGCATCAGCAGGAGAGCAGCAGCAGGTCGAGGACAACCTCTACAGCATCGCGCAGGCGTATCAGGCGAGGCAGCCAGCAGACAAGAAGGACGACGACTTGGCCGACCCGATCTGCGCCGAGATGCTGTTCTGGCAGTCCGTGAAGGACAACGGGTTCGCCTGCCCGACGAGTGGCAGGGTCCACGCCATCGCGGGCAGGTGGGAGCGCGCCAAGAAGTCGAACCCCCAGCTGAAGGCCGAGTACAATGGCATCAGCTGCCCCAAGGCGCAGGAGAAGTTCAGGAAGGAGTGGGCCAAGAACAACTACGACAAGTACATGAGCGAGCGCATCGAGACCCAGAAGAAGACGAAGTCCTCCAGCACCGTGAGGTTGGGGCACCAACCAACGGGCCCGCTGCATCGGCGCGTGAGGGCAGAACGACGCACCGCGACTCTCAGGGATCCTGCAAGATCTCTGAGGGTGGCTCGTGCGTCTGTCTGCCCCGATGCGCTGATCCGCGAGCCTGTTGCGCGCTGCCTCTTGCAAGGCAGTTCCTGCCCCTCGGCAGGATTGCGTGGCTTGAGGGCGGAGGTGCCGAGGGGCTACGTGCCGCCATCCAGAATGCCATGTCGTGCCTCACTGCTGGCCAGGAGAACTACGAGTACCATGAGAATACCCGCAAAATTCGCTGGGCGTACTCGGTCAATTCGCAGACAGACACCATGCAGCGCGAGTGGGAGATCAGGCAGACTTGGAGGTACGAGCAGCACAGGAAGAAGCAGACGGAGATCGTCGCGGCGCAGATGCCTTCTGGCGGAGCACTGGCTGCCTCGGGTGGAGCACAGGCGGCCGCAGCATCTGAGGTGACTCCCAACACGAGGCCGAGGGCGATCGATGGCTCGGAGAGCGCCGAGAAGGCGGGCCAGGAGATCACTACTGGGGGCTCGGGCAAGGGCAAGGGCAAGAAGCGCACGCACACTGACGGGCAACATGATCCTGGCCCACGGACGCCTGCAAGGCCAAAGGCCAAGGCTAAGGTCGAGAAGCCACGTGGGCTTGCAGCGATCAAGGGCACGAGCGAGACCAAGGCGAAGGTGATGAAGGGCCAGTACTCAATCGTGCTGATGCAAGCGCAGGAGTTCTACACAAAATTGACCACCCAGAAGAAGTGGTCGTGGGCTGAGGAGGACAAGCAGCAGATGAAGAAAGAGATCGAGCAGCTCGAGCAGATCGTGCAGAGCGACCCGTTCCACGTTGGTTTCTTGATGTCGGTCGATTTCAACGAGTTCAAGAAACATTACTTGTCGAAGTATTCGAAGGAGGACTTCCAGGTTCGTTTGGAGAAATTCAACATGGCGATCGACTCCCCGCTCCTCAGGGTCCTGGACATGATGTCGGCGCTCGCGAAGCAGCAGGCCGTCCGCGAGGATCAGAGCAGGGGCAGCGCGTGAGCTATTTACGGTCTCACGCTTCGCCGATGCCGATGCAGGCCACTTGAGCCTTTCTGATGATGGGGTAGTTGAAGTTGGAGGTGGAGGACGAGGAGGAGGAGGAGGAGGAGGAGGAGGAGGAGGAGGGGAGGAGGAGGAGGAGGAGGAGGAGGAGGAGGAGGTGGGGGAGGGCCCACGGGGGGGGACAATGCAGGAAAGGGGGAGATGGGAAAGAGGACGAGGATAGCGGAGCGAAGAAGAAAATGTGGGGGATCAGAAGGAAGGTGACGGGGATGAGGACTAGGAGTTTGATGAGCAGGCAGAGGAGGAAGACGAGGAGGGCAGTGCAAGTTGGAGGGATGATGACGACTAAGGGGAAGGCCAGGAGGACACGAGACGGCAAGATGACTTTGAGAAGCATCGGCATCCTAATGATATCGAGGTCAGCACGCTGCCTCCGAGGTCGCAGTCCTCTCGCGAGAGCTTGCTCGTGGGATTACACTTTGGCCGCTGTGGCCGCCAGAGCAGCGCGTGATATTCGGGGGGGTATAGGAGGATATGGAAACAATCCGTTAGCGCCTGCTTGTTTTTTTTCGGGCTGGGGTGGCGACACGTGGAGCACGCGGCGCTGGCACTTGAGGGCGAATGCCCTTATCTGGCATAGGGGCAAACTGGGGTGCTTTCAATCTGCGAGCGTCGAGCGCGACCACAGTTGCAGGCCCGAGTGCACTCGGCTGCTAGTCGCTCTCTCTCTCTCTCTCTCTCTCTCTTTCTCGCTCACCCACCCTCTCTCTCTCTCTCTCTCCTCTCTTTCTCCACTCCCTCTCGCCACCCTCCACCTACCTCGCTCGAACGCTCCCTCCCTCCATTCCTCGCTCCCTCCATCCCTTGTCTCACAATTACACCTTCCCTCTCTCTCCCTCTCCTTAGTTTCAGTATGCCAGCGACTGCAATGCTGGTTGGTGCGCCTATCGTCGACATTCGAGCTCACGCGACAAT